AAGTTTTGGCGTTTTAGACCCTTTCAGCTTTCTGGATAGCTCATCTCGCCCTTTTTTTCCTGTGAACTTTTCATTTTCAACATGAGGCTCATTCCGAAGGCTCTGATTGTATGAGTCAGGAACCTTGTGGGCAACCTCTGAGGGGTAATATTGGGCATCATGGGCTTTGAGTGAATGTTCATTGTCGGATCTATGAAGGGAAGATTGTTGAGAAGTTGTGATCATGGGGATAGTAGATATGACATGAGGACAATTTTGGGGAGAGGTAATTGGAGTATGAGTGATGGAGCTACTAGGGTGGTTGGGAAAGCTGTGATAAGCGGGTGGATCTGGAGAGTATGGGGGATCATGTGGCACTATGGCCGGAGTTTGGGTAAGGGTAGTATCTAAGAAGTTAGGTGGTGGCGGGGGTGGTGCCTTCCCAGTCATCCAAGCCTGATACATGTCCGCCATGTGTTGTCTTAACATCCTTACCTCTTCAACCAACCCATTGCACTGTTCAACCAATTGCTTTTGGGTACTAGTACCATCCAACTCAATTCTATTGTCGTCTGCCATTGCCTTTCGACTTTATGTTATAGAGAAGAGTTACCAATTTAAGAACCACAAACCAACCACCCTTCTGCTATAATGAAGATAACAAAAGGAACAAAATGAAGTCATCACGTTAGTGTTAGCGCATTTAACAGCTAAAAATATCACATTATGCGTAATGCACCTAGCAACAATTAACGGTTCTAGAATGACTTCGAGGGTCACAAGGTCACTTGGCATCATCCCAATTTTGTTCATTTCAATCTCCTCTTTTCTTTTCTTTTCTAGCACTTCTTGGCTTGCTCATTTTTCTTCCCTTTTTTTCTTTCTCATTATCACTCTTTTCTTTCCTCTCATTTCTCACGCCCCACAACTTCATCCTCTTTTTTCTTTTCTTTTTTTTTCTTTTTTCTTTTTTTTTGTTTCCTTCTTTTTCCTTTTTCTTTTAATAAAATAATAATAAAAAAATGATTCGATCGAACCCTATGTAGGTTGCCTATGTATCATGACGCCACATGAATCAGATCTTTGCGTAGTTCGGGAAGATCGGGAATAAAGTAAACAAACTAACGTTCTCTTTTTTTCCCTTAATGACTATTCTGATGAGAAAAGAGAAATAAAAGAAGCAAATCTTTTTTTTTTCTAATGGTCTAGACTTAATGTTCTATAACCTATTCTAAACTCAAGCTTATCGAGCATATATTTTTTTTTTCTTTCTTTTTGAAACAAATATTCTATGGGAAATTATTAAGGAAAAAACCCAGAAGAGAAAAATATAAAGTATGTTTTCTTTCTTCTATGTACAATATCCTAAAGTTCTAGTAAAAATAAAAAGATTTTTTTTTTCATTAGTTTCCGAAAGAAGAACCTCAAAAGAAAATCTTTTTGGATTTTTTGAAATTAATACCTTAAAGAAAACTCTTTAAAGAGGTACTAAAAGATAATTATCTTTTTTTTTAAATTTTTAGTCCTAATATACTAAAGAAAATATAAAATAAAAAAAATTTATTTCTAGATATTAATTCAATAAAGGAAAACCACCTCGAATGATTCGCCAGAGCTATCACACCTCCTTTTTCTACCCCCGAAGGGTATATAAGGGAGTTTTTTCCAATTTAAGTGACAATAGAAACGGGATTATTTATTTAAGATCAGAGTCGCCACCTGGGTTAATTTATGGTGTCCCAAGTCATCGGTTTAAAATCCCGAATCAAGGAAGTTGACTCTCAATTATGGTCTGCGAACACAGAAATCCGGGTAAGGAATTCTGTTAACCCGGGAGAAAGTATTAGGCACTCACGAGTTCCGTGGTTCTAGCACGGTCACTTTGATCATACTTGGCTTATTAAAATTGTTTGATTACTGATTTTAGAACCTATGTGCATTCCCTCCTTTAATTAAGAAATTATCTTAAAACAGGTCACGCGCACGTTTACCCATTTGTTTGGCGCGTCAAAAATCATGTCACGCGAACATGTCCACAATTAATAACACTTTATTATTATTAAGAAATTTTGGTCAAAGTTGCGCGAACGCATACTCCGATTTTGTTTTTAAGAATCGTAATTATGTCACGCGAACGTGTACACAATCACGATGTTAGATTAAAAATGCGCCTTAAGGCAGCTACGAATATCCATGAGTTAAATTACTTATCTGCAGTTTAAGATTACATGTGAAGGTCCAAAATTATGGAAATCATTTGTTGGAATAACCACACATTTGTTACTTAAGAGTGATGATTGTATTCTAAGGCTCAATTAGCGTTTAACCTATATTGCCCAGTGATACATTGATTGCTTGTCAACATTATCAAATGCAACTTCCCCAAATATTAATACATGACTGTTCAAATTTAAAGCAATTGCAAGACCGTTTCCAAACATGAATTCCCGATTACCCAAACTACATCACAGCACAACCAAACAAATAAGGTCCTAAAAAGAACACTTAATCAGGGAACTAAAATGAGAACAATGATTAAAAAAAATTGATTAAAATATAATATGAGCTCATTCTAAAGTTAAGAGTTGCACTGGCCAAACAAGAAATGTGGCCTAATTCGGAGAAGTTAACAACAAATACATCTAAAGACAACGAGAAAATTGGCAAAGAAATTTTGATAAACTGATCCTACTACTACATGATCAAGACAGAAGGTGATACTACTAAAATAAACCAACTTCACATTTCAAATCACTGCTTCATTTTCAGCCAAGATTCAATAAAGAGCCAAGAATGGCAAGATAGGCAGTAAAGCTTTTTAAAAGCAGGCATGTCACACATAAGAGTTAACTCCAACATAAACAGTAAAAGGGAAAGAGATGGACCTGGAAAAAATGAATTTTAATTAATATAACTCCAGCAAATTATAGTAGCTGAACAGAATGAGTCACTACATCCAGAAATCAACGCGGACAGAATCTCGAACGCGAACTCGACTCAAACTCGGCTCAGACGGAATCCATGGGTTTTTGGAAAATCAACATCGAGATGAAAAAATGAAGAACATATATCTTTTTTTTTTTGTTTTGTTTTAGTTTTCCGATTTTCCAAAGATTCTAAGAACCATGGACCTCTTTTGATTTCTGTCCCGCATTTGTTTTGGTACGTGACTGCGTGTGTGCATGTTCCGGCGAGTTGAGTTGAGGGCGATGAAGAAGAGAAAATCCACTGGTTACGAGATGAAGAAACAGGAATGGATGGGAGCTTTGTTCTTCGCCGGTTTTGACTCCATGAAGAAGAAGAAGAAGCTTAGGGTCGATGGTTGGAGATCTGCAACTATGGCATGCTTTGTTCTCTTGGGTCTGAAGATGAAGAAGATCCTTAGGGTTGATGTTGTCTTTGTGAAGAAGAAGATCAGGTTAGGGAGGAAGGCGTGTATTGTGTATTGCGGCGCTGCCTAGGTCTTGAAAAATGGCTGATGGGAAGTTCTTCTCTTCAAGAAGAACGACATAGGGGGGGTTCTTTTGGGGTGTCAGCGGCGGATCCAATCTAGGGATTAGGCTTTGTTTTTTTCTGTCCTTTTCAGCTGATTGTAGAGTGTAGGGATATAGGTTTTTGTAGGGTTTTTTAGGTTAAGGGGTATGGGCCTAGGAATTATGGGCTAGATCCGAAAATTAGGCCTAAAAATGGGTCGTTTAAGCTGTCACACCTCCTTTTTCACTACCCCGGAAGGGTATAAGGGAGTTTTTTCCAATTTAAGTGACAATCGAAACGGGATTAATTATTTAAAATCAGAGTCGCCACTTGGGATAATTTATGGTGTCCCAAGTCACCGGTTTAAAATCCCGAGTCGAGGAAATTTGACTCTATTTACGGTCCGCGAACACAGAAATCCGGGTAAGAAATTATGTTAAGCCGGGAGAAGGTGTTAGGCATTCCCGAGTTTCGTGGTTCTAGCACGGTCGCTTTGATCATACTTGGCTTAATCAAATTGTCTAATTACTTATTTAAGAACCTATGTGCTTTACCTCTTTTAATTAAGAAATTATCTTAAAACAGGTCACGCGCACGTGTACCCATTTGTTTGGTGCGTCAAAATCATGTCACGCGTACGTGTCCACAATTCCTAATGCTTTATTATTTAGGAAAAAGCTTGCCCCAAGTTGCGTGAATGCATACCTTGATTTATTTTTAGAAATCATAACCATGTCACGTGGACGAATACACAATCACGATAGTAGATTTAAGAGTACGCCTAAAGCTAGCGATTGAAAATATTTGATGTCCATTAATTTGCAAAGGATAGGCTAACTACATGTATTTTAAAAAAAAAGATTGGGCCAACTTAAAGAATGAGACCCAAAATTACTTCAGGCCCGAATTTTGTCCTCATTTTGTTATGGCTAAGATCTATGTTTCGACATACTGGTGTGTTTAGCCTCACTCTAGTTTGCAATCTGCATTTTCAGTGGTTTTGGGCGGACCATTTTTGTTGTGCCAATGCTCATTAATCCAGGGTTTTTCGAGCTTTGCAGTCTAATATTAGTGCCTGTGCACTAGTCATTGATTTTTGGGTTGTGTTTGGACCATTGAGTATTAGCCAATTCAATAGATTTAGGATGTTGAAGGGGGTAAACCGAAAAATGGTAAGTTGGGGTACTTTTTCAGTTATCAGAGTCATGGGGATGGCTACCTACTCCATTGTCAACCCCAACATTGCTAGATAGGCACTGGAGCAGTTTTGACTTCTTAATTATCAAGAGCTAACACGATTGTTAAAATTTTCAGCTTCTCTTTCTGTTTCTATGGTAAAGTTCTTTCTTGACTGACCTAAACTGAATGTTCTGCTGGTGAATCCTTCTTTTTCCTTATTCTTTTTGTGCGTTTGTTATTCACAGTGGATTTGGTAGTATACAACATTGAGGAAGTTTACCTCAATGACAAACTGACGTCATGTTTATGGCACCTTTCAGTTACTTCTCTCCTTTCTTAATGGGTTACAAGGTCTGTGGTTATTCTAGGTCTTGGCCTATGCACAAAGGTCTAGAGAAAGCTCCACACATGAGCAGGCAGTTCTCAATGGAAAAATGCAAGAGTATAGGAGAGAAGTCGATCAAGAAAGCAGGCGGTCATTCAATGGTCCTCACAGTTCTTCAAATGCTGATGTCATACAACATTCTTCCAGAAGTTCTCAAAAATTGATAGAGGCAGTAATGCAGTCTACTTCAGAAGGAAAGGTACACGCTTTGAGGCTGCAATCATAGGCAAATAATTTTCTCTGATGTTTTTGAGATTCTAATTATTTCTTCCAAAAGCTCTTCCAATTACCATTTCTATAGCTAAGATTTCAATAGTTTAGGTACAAACTATAAAACAAGGGTATCTCTCAAAGCGTTCCTCTAATTTAAGAGGTGACTGGAAGAGAAGATTCTTTGTTCTAGATAGCCGAGGAATTCTGTACTATTATCGAACACAAAAGAGCAGGTCCTCTGTAAGTTATCAGATAAACTGGTCTTTTAGAACGTTCTTCTGGCTACTATTTATGCTCACTCAAAAGCGGATGGTGCAGTTTCAGGGATCTGCCAATCCACTCTCTCCACATAGAAGTTTTTCCACAGAACCAGGAGCAGCGCACCGGAGTAGTTGGCTTTCTTCTCATTATCATGGAGGTGTACATGATGAAAAACCTGTTGCACGTCGTACAGTGAACCTACTGACATCAACAATAAAAGCGGATGCAGAGCAATCGGATCTGAGATTTTGCTTCAGAATAATTTCACCTACAAAGAGTTATACTTTGCAGGTGAACTAAGCAAGAGCTGCATTGAGAGAACTTGTTTTCAACACATTATGTCATTAACAGTTTTTAGTAAAGTTGTCTTTTGGACATCCAGGCAGAGAGCGCAGCAGAACAAATGGACTGGATAGAAAAAATAACAGGAGTTATTACCTCTTTGTTGAGTTCCCAGACACCTGAAAGGGTAAAATATTAAGTGTTAACGTTAATGTTGTTACTCCAGTTCCAGTTTTTGTCACTTCCTAATGATACTGGTTCATGTTGTAGCATTTCTCCGTGAGTCCCACTATGAAAAGTAGGTCTATAGGAAGTCCCACCAGTCATGGTCAAAGGAAGATGGAGGAGTGCACATCCGGGAGGGATTTCATTGCTAGGAGTTCCATACGCCAATCCAAAAGTGCATCACACCTCCCCAGCATGAAAACAGTGAAACCAGTTGAAGTACTGAAAAGGATACCTGGGAACGATAAATGTGCTGATTGTGGTTCTCCAGAACCAGAGTGGGCTTCTTTAAATCTTGGTATTCTTATATGCATTGAATGTTCTGGCATTCACCGTAACCTTGGTGTACATATATCAAAGGCAAGTCAAATGTGCTGCCTTTTGCACCCAAGCTTCTTTACTTTTGTAATAATCAGGCTTTTTGTTTTTATCCACTTTGTCTTTAGTTAGGGGCAAGACACCTTCCTAAATCTCTCCCCAGTAAAAGGACCTGTCATCATGTTACACCACACATGCTCTGATAGTCATTATATCAGATTATGTGTCTATGTGGTGTTTCTCTATATTATATGTGGGGAATATAGCCAAGCTGGAAAATCCAATGTTTATTCTAGATTTATCAAGACAACTCAATTCATGAGAAGAGAATGGATTCTTTTGTGGAATATGTAGTGTAATTCATAAACCTGGTGATTAACTAGAACCACTTGCATGTCTGTCTAAAACATGACACAACATCAATCTATCCGCTACGCCTCAATGCAAGACAAGTTGGGGTTATATGAATCCTCTATATCTATTTTGCACCATTCTGAGCCCATCTCATTCTAATAGTGGTAAATAATTTATTTAAGTAGTTATATAAGGTTCTCTGAAACTAGAGGTTATCTGATGTAGTGCTAAAACATACATGAATACAGTTTCGAAAAACGAGCTTCTTGAATAATTATGTGATTGGTAGTCATAGTTTCGATGATTCTCTCTGTACTGGTTCAGCTGCTAAGTTAAAGGAGATTAGATAAAAAATAAGGATAAGTGAAACAGAATTTCTGCAGATATGAGAGATCAAGGTAAAAGGATATAGCTCATCTACAATTGCTCAACTTCTTGATGCCACATAGGAACTCTTATTGTTCCTGAAATTTTTGAAGTACCTAGATAGGTTAAAGGATAGGTGAGAGTGGGTCATGATGGTTAAGATACTTCAGTTTATATTCAATCTCATTATGTTTAAACTTATGGAAGGGGTTGTCCACTTGATCATTCCCAGGTAGGTCATTGTTCTACTATTTCCTAGTTTAAAATACGTGATCTTTTCTATATATTGTTTCTCTCTATACTCCAAAATCTTATACTTCTCCAAGGAATCATGTTTAGACCAGTTTGTTTTTAGCATAAACACAAGTTCAGATTTACATGGCCTGTAATGTGATATAAATGATGGTCATTGAAAAAATTGAGACAAGTGAAAGTAGAAGAAAAGAAAGCTTAGTTATATATTCTGTTAATTTTGGAGTATCCAAAGGATAATACCCTAAAATGAGTTGGATGAAAAAAATGTTTTCTCAGTTAAATTCAAGTCCTTTGTCCATTTCCCTTTTATAGTTTGGATGGAAAATAGTTGAACTCCTTTATTATGCACTGGACTTGCTTAGAGCATTGCATTTTATAGAGCTTTTCAGATGATTATGCAAAATTTGAAGTATTCCTAACAGCTTAACTGCAACTTTGAAATTAGGTAAGATCCTTGACACTTGATGTTAAAGTGTGGGAGCCTTCAGTCATAACCCTATTCCAGGCACTTGGTAATGTGTTCGTGAATTCTGTTTGGGAGGGTTTGTTGCATCCAAGAAGAACTTTTCAGGCAGATGAAATACCAATGCGGTAACTTTGAAAATTCAGCATGATTTAAATTATTGTTATTGTTCTTCTTTATTGAAAAGTGTCAACTGGTTGCTCTAGGTTTTTGGAGTCCCAGAAACACAAACAGTTCTTTTGCAAACCCAGTGACCATGATCATATTTCGGTGAAGGAGAAATTCATCCATGCAAAGGTACCACTACATTGTCAACATGTTCTCCTAGCCGTTTCTCTGTCCTCGAGTGATAGCTTCACATAATATTTGTTTTCCTCTAAAGTCTATATTTTTACCTTATCCCTCTAGTTCAATCATTTGGTTAGCCCTTAATGTCACCATTGGTGGATATTGCACACTATGCCCGTCTTGTTGACTCACTAATTATGTAGGCTTATTATCATAGATAATATCTCCCACTTATACGTCAGACCATAACTCATGAGCCTTCTGCTGTACGGCTGCCCCACCTGATTAGCGGACTGGCATTGCACATTATGCATGTGGAGTGACCTAGTATTAGCTAAGGTCTTATCTGGGACTTAGTAGTCTCCTACCTAAAGTTCAGAGCATAGCAGATGTAGGCCTCCTACAGTACGGCTGCTGCAATTCGCAGCATCATTGGTCCAAGGTCTGGTTTGGCTGCTCCAGGTGCGTTAACTGAAGAATTTCCCCTTGGCTCATGATGCTGTTGAGCATGTCTGGCCTACTAACTTAGTCCCTCTAGTAAAGTGCTACAACCTTTTTTGGCGATTAATGGCCTTGCATAATCTTATGGTCTCACGCAATGCAATTTGCATACTTTCTAGTGCCATGAATGAACAAATATATGGTAATGGTATGCTGGTTCTGTATGTATGTGTTTTTGGGAAAACCTCTTTTAAAACATACGCTTCTGTATGGCATATTTGGCAAGGTCGTTAATCTTCACTTGCTAAGTCTTCTTATGGTTGCAGTATGCAGAAAAACGTTTTGTTCACAAAGTGGCAGACAGTGGGCACTTGCTTTCTGTGGCACAACAGTTGTGGGAAGGTGTCCGTAAAAATGACAAGAAAACTGTATACCGACTAATTGTTGTCTATCAAGCAGATGTTAATTCAGTCTACACGCAAGCATCAGTTGGTACATCTTTCTCTTGTGATATATTGATATTGCATTGACATACAAACCCTGATTATAACTTCAATTTCCTAGGCAGTGATTGTTCAAGCTCTTTGAACCCACAAAGTGGAAGTGAAGACCATTCCTCTGATGAATTTCTTGATGGCTGTTCCCTGCTTCACCTAGCCTGCCAAACTGCTGATATTGGCATGGTAGAGCTGCTTCTGCAGCATGGTGCTAACATAAATGCCTGCGATTCACGTGGTCAGATCCCATTACATCATAGTTTCTTAAGAGGAAGAACTGAAATTGCCAAAATATTACTTTCAAGGTATTTCTTTGGTTCTAAGACCAGTGCTAATCCTTTCTTTCTCTTAATTATATTCAGTTTGATAATAAAACTCTTGCTGTGAGGCTGATGTCCCGACATCTGCATTTGCATAGAAGTTACTAAGAGGTTCACATTATAGGTTACTGCATCCTATACATCCATATAGGTAAAAACATTGGGGAGGTCCACAGCTATATGTTTGTACTCAGAGAATGTGATTCCAAGCACTAGGATGGTGTGTTTTTACTGGTTAAATCCAGCTATCTTATTGGTCGTCGTAATTATTACCCCAAGTTTGGTTCAGGAACTATGGAACCCTCTAAAAGTTTATTTAGTGGGAACTAGTTACAAAGTCACAATTTTAACTTGCAGCTGATGCAATCATGTAAAGTTTTCTCATGCTGAACATGCGCCTCTTTTACCATTCGGGTACATTGTGCTCAGTTTGGGGATAAATATGGATAAAGTAGTAGGCTAAACCTCTTAGAGGTTGGTTTGACCTTCACATACCAAATACCAGAATCTTTGTGCACTTCCACAGCTTGGGAAATATCAAACTCACCTCCTCCTGGCTTGAGTCTCTACATGTGAGATCACCTTTTAGATACTAAAATAGGTCTAAATAACAACCCCTTCCCCCCAACAACCCCAAAAAATGATGAAAATAAAATAATATATAAAATCTTTTATGACACACATTTAGGCAATCAGATCTTGAGTAACACGTGCACGATGTCTCCTATCACTAAGTGAAAGACATCCTCCCCTTTTCCAAGTACGGATATGTTCATGGATTAGACTCCCGACATACAGTTGTGAGAGAAACACATACACAGAAGCCACATTAGCAAATTGCTGCTAAATCATAATTAAAAAACTATAGAAATTGAAGCCAAGTTGTAATTGTCATTTAAGGAATACAAGCATGTTAAAAGGAGTCCGATAAAGGAGTTAGATTGGGGTAGCTTCTGCACTTTGTATTGCTTGTAGAACGGGGAACTAGTTAGAAGATATCAAATCGCTGTATTAATGCATGATCGTTAAACTCCAGCTGGATTTCAGGGGAAAGCAATTGAGTTCATGCTTTTCAGAGTCAGAGGGAGGTTATGACTTTCTATCAAGCAGTTTGATGCTAACATTCATAAATCACAAAGGAATTAGTTATTGAATGTTTCCCTTCGGTCAATCACTGAACCACAATGATTCCAGCCCCACGTGGGTACAAATGCTGAAGTCTCTAACCATCTCATCTTAAGTTGTTGGAGAGACACTCCCCCTCGTCCTCTTTTAACACCTTCAATCATTTTGGCATCATCCTGCATGCTGCTGCATTTGGAGGTCCACGTAGAATATGACCAGACAATTTTAGGCTAGCTTTTTTCATTTTTTCATCTATAGCTACTTGTACCTTCTGTTAATTGACCATTTCTAATCTTGTATAAACTCGTATGGCCACACATCCACATTAACATCTGCACAACATTGATGGTCACATAACTGTTTTGTAGAACTTGCCTTTTATAGCGTAAAACAGAAGAATTATTTATTGATGTTGATGTTTTGTAATATCTCGTTTTACAAAGGACAACTTCTGAGGTTCGGGTTCAGTATACAAGTAGAGGAGCTTAAACCAATTCTCCAGGATTTATAGGGTGCGTATATAATGGTTTTTACCATGCACTAATTTCATTCTGAGCTAGAACATAACAAATTCTGCTCTCAAATTTCAAAACTGCTTCCATCTGATTAAGGTTTAGAAAATGGAAGAATGGTAGTTGATTACTGTTTTACTTCATCGGGTAGTAGAGCCAGCTTAATGTCTAGTTCTATTCCTTGACTTTGCTGGAGGATTATGTTCTTTGTATAGATAAATGACATAAACGTTCTACTGCTTAGTTAGTACCCCATTACACTTTCAAATCCTCTATTGGTGATAGTGGCCTCAGATTTGAAGGAGAACTGATGATTTTGAAATGATAATGGAGTTAATTCTGATATATAAATCATTAAAGTAATGTTGACAATTAGCTAATACCGCTGAAATTGATAACTGACAGTTTTAGTCTTTTCTGTAATGCTGCTGAAATCGATAACTTACAGTTGCAATCAGTTATATAAATTTCTGCAATGTTCTTTGACCAATATAATATTCTTTCGAACAGAGGGGCTGACCCACAAGCTGTTGATAAGGAAGGTAAGACTCCTTTCCACCTTGTCGAAGAATCAGCCCTGGATGATGTAGAGATTCTCGCCCTCCTGAAAGTCGCAATAGGATAGCACCAGCACAAAGATCACACTGAGGTAGACCACTTAGAATTGCATTATCTTCAAAAATGACGTTGGAGTTATTTGGAAGTGCTAGAGCCTTCTCAATCCTTAGCTTCATTCTGCCAAAGGAATATTGAAATAAGCAGGCTTTCTGACATTAATGATTCAGAGAACTGGTGCTTTTCCTCCGCGGAGTTGAGGTTAGAAATTACACATCAAGTACCACATTGCTAAAGCTATGAGAGACAGTTAGCTTGTGCTTCAGGCATGTTGTTCCTACAAAATGCAACAATTTCAGCTTTAGTAAAAGAGTTTGAGGCCATGCATTAAGCTGCTTCATCTGTATTCCTCATTATTAGTTTTTTCTCCTTTGGTTTCTTTTGTTATCCTAGTTCTGCAGCTCTCGAAGAAGTAGGCACTGTGGAGCAGTTATACATGCATTATGAATTGATTTTGATGGTTTGAACAGTTATGAAGTGGGTGAAATTTTTGTATAGCAGCTTGCTGATTGAGCTGAAGAAATCGAGGAGACATGCGATACCTAGCTTGCTTGTATTGCCAGAAGTATTCAAAATAGCTTACTGGTTAATTTTCCAAGATCAAGAGGTTGGTAAATGATAGTCATAATTCATTTGTACCTAAAGCAATTGATGGGAAATTGAGTATAGTATGTGCCTTGCCATAAGAGCTGTAGTTTTAATATTTAATCATTATTCTTTTAATTTTTTTGGAAAATTATCAGAGTTCTAGCTATTTGTAATGCAGATATAAATTAAAAGACTTTGAGATGAGCATCAAAGGCCACAAAGGTGCAAAAGTTCACTTAATTCAACATATCTAGTTCCTTAATATTAAGGAGGAAAAAAGAACAAGTTTTTTGGTAATAACCTGTGAAATTACCATTAACAACAAAACTTTGTACACTTAAAAGAGCATCCAGTGTTATAACCCCTTTCTAGGAAGGTTGTTCTTAACAACTAGACCTCGAAAACTATGAATACAAGGCAAAGTCCACTATTGGAGTCCCAAACTAGTTACATAATCTATTAATGAAACAGTTGTTCCTAAGAGTAGTCTTGTATCTATGCAGTTCGCCTATTCTTTCCCTAAGCTCATTCTGAATCTGCTTTATAGTATACTCAGTGGCATTCCTAAGCAATTTCCAGTTCTTGGCTTGCCATGTGTGATAGATCATAGCCCCCCATATAGCAGTCATCACTTCCTTCTTATACTGCCGCCAATGTCTTCTTTTGAACCATTGTAAACTCTGCATGATCCCTTTCTTCTGGATGGAAATCCCAGCCCAACTAACCAGTGCATTGTTCACTTGAGTTATCCAATTACATTCTGCAAATAGATGATACTGTGTTTCAGGAACACCTTCCTCACAAAGACAACAGTTTCCATCATAACTAAGTTCCAGATTAAGTCAGCTTCCTTCACTCTATTTTGTTCCCCAAGCATAGCTACATATCTTTTGGTCACAGAGTAATCACCCTTTGGCCTTTCAACGAGTTTAATTTTCTCCAATACCAATTGCTATCTGCTGGTGATGTATGTTCCCAAAAAAGAATAAGTTTGCTATTCGGTTATGTGTATTCTACATTTACTCAAAAGTTACAACATATATGTTGATTGGAAAGTGCAAGCTACCAAGTTGTGCTTCTTATTAAGTGCAGGTAGGACTTAGGCACACTAATTCTTGCTTCCTAGTAATATACGAAAGAATACCCCCCTGGTTCGTATTATACGTCTTTTAAGGTTTTTGCAAACTCCTTGAGAAAGATATTTAACCGTCTTAACCATAAGAAATATTTGTTTAAACTATTATTTACCTCAGGTTAAGAACCTTAACTGTCTTCACTCTTAAGCCCCACTTCTAGGAATATTTGATGCTCCAAATGAAATGGAAGAAATTCAAAAATAGTCAGGTTTACGAGTGGTCATTCAAAAATAGCCAAAGTTTCAAAAGTAATTGAAATTTAGCCACTTTTCATGTAAAGATAAATCTAAACGAAAAAAATGTTCAAAATTCGGAAAAATACTCCATCATAATATACTGGAGTTCCAGTATATTATACCGGAACTCCAGTCTAATATGCCGGAGTTCCAATATAATATACCGGTCCAGCATAATATACTGGAGCCAGCAAAGTATATTGATGGGGGAAGTGCATGGTTAGCCACTAATAACATATGTATTTACTTTTAAGCCACTGTTTAAAATATTTTTAGTCTTTAGCCATTGCTTTAATAAACTTTAACTGCCCGGACGAAAATACCCTTCTGCTCATGTCATTAACTTCAGGACTACATGTCCTTAACTTTTGAACTTAACTTCAGGACTTCAGGACTACATGTCCTTAACTTTTGAACTTGTAACTGTAAGTTCAGGACCAAGTGTCCTTAACTTTTGAGCTTGTTAGTCTAAGTTCAGGACCTATTGTCCTTAATATTTGGGCTTCTTAGCCTAAGTTCAGGACCTATTGTCCTTAACTTTTGAGCTTGCAACTGTAAGTTCAGGACCTATTGTCCTTAACTTTTGAGTTTGTTAGTCTAAGTTCAGGACCAAATGTCCATAACTTTTGAACTTATAATTCTAAGTTCATTAAACAAGTAGCCATATATATATATATATACACACACATACATATAAACAATAACATCACAATCGCTTTCCCAACATTATTTGTAAGAACCGTGAGATCTAAAACTCAAAGAAACATATTTATCAAACATTACTCCGTTCAATTTTTCGGAACTAAGCTTATTGTTCCCCCAAATGTTAAGACAAAAAAATAAGTAACAAAAATAATCAGTAACGACGTACAATGACATTATATTCAACAATAACAGTTGTATTGCTTGAGAAATAAGTCTTAGCAGTAGCAACACCTTGAACAAGCCTAAAAATTCCAGATCCACCAATAATTTGCAATTATCTGTATTCTTGCGATTCAGAAACTTGACCAACCACACTCAGACTACTACTATTATAAGGTTCGTCAATGAACACAAAATTGAAGTCGAAAAATAGAGCAATTTCAGTCATTGATGTAGCCCCATGAATTCCCTGGGCACAGTTCTTCTCCCTAACATGAAATAGATAGAAGAAAGAGTAATACAGCCTTTTCATATTAATTTTAATAGACTAGTGGCTATTATTGCTAAGCATTGAAAATACTGGATAAAAAGTAAATACCACTTTAAAAAATGACTAACCCACACAATTTTTACTATATTGATCCAGCATAATATGCTGGAAGTTCATACACAGGTGCGTCGAACTCCAGTATATTATGCTGGACCGGTCTATGTTGCAATAAATTAGTGGCTATTTTTCAATAACTTAGGCAAACATTGACTATTTTTGAATGACCAGTCTAAAAACTGGCTAGCCCGTACTATTTTAACAAATGAAATAGGCCGAATTAGAAGGAGTATAGCTGAAAATGGGAAATTGAAATCAGAACTCCTGAAATTCTAACACGAAGAATAGCAGTTAGACATTTTAGTTAAATGTAAATTTTACTATTAGTTACCTGTTATTTTTCCTTTGGGGAACATCCAATAAAAAGAAATTTTTAAATTTCAAAAGTTTTGCAATTTTTGTACTAAGACTTAAAGGGTTAATCACTAAAGAATGAACCTGGTATTCTTCTGCATATAAGCTGGATCAAAGTTGACTGCGGGGAACAATATGGGCTTTCCTCGATAAATTGAAAAGAATTAACCTAAATAGCCATCACCTAATTTGGGGTATTATCACTTTTAGCCCGCGCCAGAAACTATTTATATTTGGTAGCCGAAAAGTGTATAAATTTTTTATAATTTTTGTATATAATATACAAAATGTATATATATACAAAAAGTATATATTTTTTCAGCTATTATTTTTCCGGTGGCTATACAGTGGCATTTTTCCACCTAATTTCTTAAATTAAAAATACCAGATAGATGTATATTATATGTATAATTCATGTATAATATATATAGTTGTATATAATCAATTCATAATTTATATATACCGGCTAAAAATAAACAATGAATTTGACCGGCTATTTATGTAACAATCCCATAAAATTAACTAGGCTGGGAAAGCTTGCAGCAGACATGGACATTTGCTCTTAAATTTCATATTTCATAAGAACTTAAACTGATAGCATGAATTTGTACACTATTAGATCATTTAAAAGATATTTACAAACAACAGTTTGTAATAGGTGTCAATTAATAACCAGGCAACTAGGGTAGATTATCTAATTTAACATATTAAATTGCAACCATAAATCAAAGGAACGCAAAAGAGTATTTTTTTTGCTTGTGGTCGAATAACTGAATCAGCCATCAATTATGGGCCAAAATACAAAATAGGTCGATCAGCTGAAATTAATTGCATTCACTAGTCAAAAAATATATAAAATATATCTGTTTGTATATAAAACACATATATGCAGGAAAAAAAATGTGTCGGCTATTATTTTTGGGAGAGCAAAAAGTACAGATTTTGCTCTTCTTATGACCTATCAGTTCTTTTTATAATTGACATTTCGGGAAGGAAGTCTTCATATTGTCTGCGGTCCACCATATTCTGTTTTTAACTCTCTTCACAGTTTCATCTAGAAGACACAATACTCATTTTTTCTACTTCAAATAATTTATAATTATAGATAATTTCATAGACTTGCCTCCAAGTTTAAAAGAGTTATCGTCCATGAAAATAACCGTCATTTTTTCTTCAATAGGATAGGCTGCTTGCATCACACCCTCTAGGGTGGAGTCCCTTTCTGATCTTGCGTGTATTTGACTCAAAAGATGTTAAAACCTTTTTGAACAAATCAATCAAAGATGAAGGGGTAAATCGTAGCTGAAGATAGTAATTTCTAGAATAATAACAAGTAAAGAGAAGAGAGTTGCAAAGTTTCTTTTTGTTCAAGATTGATAAGTTTCCCAGTCTTTTTTCCCATACAAGGTCCTTTTTCCCCCTTATATACTAGAGAGAAGCCCTTCTGAATTGTAAGAAATAAAATACAAGGAATATTCGGCTGAATATTCTTAATGTCCCCTAACGAGTTTACACTTCTACAAGGGTCGTACAGTTTCTTCTTTCGCCTTAAGGTCGTCTCCCTCAGGACACCGGTTCGAAGTTACCCGGTCGTTTGTCGTACTCGTTGTGGGTCGTGGTCGGTCAAATTTGGACCCATACAGTTAGTCCCTCCGCTTGTCGGGGTCGCGACCGGATACGTCTTCGATGAGCGGACTCCATGCATTCTTTTGGAGAAATTTGACCTATGGGAGCGCTATGACGTGGCTAATGGGAGATGGTCATCATGCTCGGTAAAACATCGCGTGGTACACTTCTCCAGGAAGTGATGTCAACTTTACGTGCGTTATCATTATGCAGGTTTTCGAGGTAGGGACTGATGGCTTGGTGCTTTGATTCTTGCGCTGCTTTGAAGCCTATCGCCTCGATTCTGGCACCTCTCAATCCTATAAATAAGTGAAGGATTTGATTTTTTGAAAACCTTTAGCCATTCCTCCCTTGAAGACCCCTTTCATTCTTTCTCGCTCTCTTATCCTTCTGTTCTTCTTTTGTTCACCACCTGAAACTTCTTCTTCTTTCCTCCTTTTGTGTTGATACTCTTTCAAACGATATTAAACCGAGGTCTCGTCGTTCTCGCGAAGAGGTTCCTAAAGCTGCCCCATCATCAATGGTGCCTCCTTCCGACAGCGGAGATATGGTGGCAGAGGAGAGTGACAACCCTCCTATGGTGGAGGAGCTACTACCGAG